GGATGAATCACGTCGTGTGACAGTCAGAACGCCGCTGCTTTGTCCGTCTGAAGGCCGTTAAGACAAATCTTTTCTGAAGTTTCACGCAACAGTGAATGCAACGCTGACCTCTGACCTCATCTCATGAAGCCTTTAATAAACTGTTGGAATGACAAGAACAGGAGAGCAGCGACGAAGATATTAATTTGCTATAGCAGCAGACACAAAGTCATTCATGTATCCAGCAGTGCGTTTTAATGCATTATTTTGCTTATTCAAGTTCTATTAAAAAGTTTAGTAAAGTTCTCAGTTCAGATTCGAGCCAGTGTTGAGAGTCAAGTAGGTTTTACTTTGCTACTTTCTGCCTACAGCGAGTTCAGTTCATATGTAGGGCATATACGTTGCATTTGTACGTTATGTAGCAACAACGTTATGGTTACCATGTGGTTAGGTTTAGGCACAAAAACACTTGGTTATGGTTCGGAAAAAAGTAAAAGTTTGGCTTAAAATACCAGCTTTTTGTGGCACTGTCCTGGCAGGAAGCACACCAATGTCTTGCTAAAATACAACTGCTTTTTGTGGCACTATCCTGGCAGGAAGCACACCAATGTCTTGCTAAAATACAACTGCTTTTTGTGGCACTATCCTGGCAGGAAGCACACCAATGTCTTGCAAAATTACAACAGCTTTTTGTGGCACTATCCTGGCAGGAAACACACCAATGTCTTGCTAAAATACAACAGCTTTTTGTGGCACTATCCTGGCAGGAAGCACACCAATGTCTTGCTAAAATACAACAGCTTTTTGTGGCACTATCCTGGCAGAAAACTTGGCAATGTCTCAGTAAAAAACAACCATTATTTATGGCACTATCCTGGCAGGAAATGCAGCGATTTCTCAGTAAATAAACAACTGCTTTTCATGCCACCATCGCCGCTGGAAATGCAACATGTTAGTTAAAAAAAATAGCCGCTTTCTTGGCACTATCCTGTCAGGAAACGCGGAAATGTCTCAGTAAAAAGAACCGCTTTTCTTGGCACTATCCTGACAGGAACAACATCAATATCTTGGTAAAAAAACAACTGCTTTTCATGCCACTATCCCCGTTGGAAATGCAACATGTCAGTAAAAAGAACCACTTTTCTTGGCATAATCCCGGGAGGAAAATATAAAAAAATAACCGCTTGATTTGGCACTATCCTGTCAGGAAACACAGCGATGTTTCAGTAAGAAAAAGAAGCAGCAGGTTTCGAAGAAACACCAATGTTTTGTGGCTAAAGTGCTGCTGTAAAAACAACAAACTATCCCTGAAACACAGCAGTGGTCTGTCGCTTGGGAAGTACCACGATCTCCTCCTGAAAACAAAGTCACCTAATTTACTACATCACTTTAGAAACGTAGATGTGATGCATATGAAACGTACAATTGTAATGTATTTGCAGTTTGCAGGAACGTCCAATGCCGACATTTTCTTCTGGTAACTTAGCTGGAAATGCAATAAAAGGGGAGCAACTAGTGCGGACCGACAAACTGTGGGCTGAGAGAATTCATCATGCCACATTATTTCTGGTTTCACCAGTTTGAACACTTTTAATTTGAAGCAGCAGCAGCAATTGATACGAGTCTTGAGTAGAAAACAGTCATGTCTTTATGTTTTCGTGCACAATTGGTTGTCATTCCTCCACGCCAGAGGACATTTGCCTAAATTTGAACCTTTCTGTAAAGTCTTGAGTCAAACAGAGGGATGTTAGGAGGATAATTCATGTGTGTGAGCATGAAAACATCCACTTCCATCTTTCTGACGTCTATTGTTTCCTGGTTCTGCTGTGCTGGTGCACTGTATGATTGGTTGGCAGTTTGAGCTCTAAAGACCAATAATACCTGCCTCTTGCTTGATATTTATTTGCAACCTCTAACTTTTTATGCCCCATTTTGAGTTTACTTTAAACTATCTTCACGTAAAATCCCCCAAAACTTTTGTCACACCTTTATTAGAGCTCCTTTAGCTCCTTTAGCTCCCAGCGCTCGCTGCGTCTGGCGCTGGCAGCAAAGAGAAACGTACCCTGCAAAGAGCCTGAGAGGTATCACCACAGGACGGTGCATCACTTTGAAGTGTGTGTGTGTAAAGATGTAAGACACCCGCGGCGGCTGAGAGCCCTGCTTTTTCTGAACCAACATCTTATCTGTGGATGGACACACACAACTGCACACGCTGCATTTTTTGTTCCTGATAAAAGAGGAAAAAAGAGACACTGTGTGTGTCCGTTGTGCTGCTTTTCAAGAAAAGAAAAAGGTGCCTGGAGTGTAATTTTTAGTCAGCTGATTTTATTTATGCTCAGAATTTTCTCACCCTCATTTAACCGGGTTATCTGAGTAGAAAGGTATTAACAGCCGCAGCCTGAGGGTCATGACTACCTTAAGGAGGGCTAAGGATTATATTCACACACTTAGCCATTTCCTTTTTTTATAAACAGTGTTTTAATCTTTTATATTCACCATTCAGCCCCCGTGGCCGGTTTAAAGACAAACAGGAATCTTCCCAACCACATAAATTTGATGATTAACATGTATTTTCTACACAAATATTAACTCAAGCCTCTAAAAATGATTCAGACGAAACCTTTCGAGAGGACTTTGGTCGAACGCCGGTCACACATGGATACTCTGTTGTTTTAAGGGGATTTAAGACACAAAAGGTTTGAAACCACTGGACTAGAAAATGGGATTAGGAAAAGGAAGTCCAAATTGGGAAGGCTGGACTAGATTTTGCAACAAAGATCTTCACTGGTACAATTGGCTCCTAAACCGATTACGATGTGGCAACTGTTCCATGAAAGGTATACTGTGCAGGATTTACCTAAAAAAACACAATATATAGATTCATATAAAGTGTGTGTTGGTGTATTTATCTGCAGAGACTTTGCCCTCTGCCTGGATTTTTGAAAAGTTTCTTCTTATTTTTCTGAACTTGGGACGTTCCTGGGTACAGTGCGTAGGTAAGGTCTGGGGCCAGTTGTACAGAGCACCTTAAGATTTCCCTTAAAGCCCTAGTTAAGGTTTCATCAACATAAAATTGGTTGTCTTTTCCTTAAGGTGTCCTTAAAATGGACACTTAAATATGTTATTCTCCTTGTCTTGATCTTTTACTTCAGGAATCACTTGACCGTTGCACAAAAGACCTTAGCGGCCAAAGAAAGGTAAAACAAAAAAAAACAGAAAAAACTTAAGGTATCTCAAATCTACTTTGTAGTTTGTTCTTTCTATGATTTTATTCCTCCTGAGGTTTCATCTTTTCCTCGTCTGACTACTGTGGTTTTCTTGTCTTCTTTTCTTCTGTCATTTTAAGCCAACTTTGTGAGATGCTAACAGGCGTCACAAGTGCGAGTCCAAGCAAACAAACAATCTCCATGGGAACTTTTACTGCTGTAAAATCTCTTTCAATGCAGTAAATGAGTTTTTAAATAACTAAGGAAACCTTTTAGGGGATGCAATTAAGGAAAAATTAAGCCTTAAGTGTCATACTTATAAAAAGGTAGCAACCAGGTGTCAACCAAAACCAAATTATCTCCGGTTCTTGATCTGGATCCATTCAGAACTCTTGGAACCTCGGTGCTATCTAGCCAACCAGCCCGTGTTTCCACCACTGTAATCAACCATGTGTCACCAACGTGGCGGGCCGCTCTCTCCTGTGTGTTGGTGGGGGCCCGTCCTGGGGGGTTCGGGCGGGTGGCCCTTCGCGGTCCCCTGGTTCCCGATGCGCCGGGGACATATGCCTTGCAGCATCGCCTCCTTGCCTCCCGCGTCCGCCCAGGCCTGGGTGGGCTCTCACTACCGTCCGGTCCGGCGTCTGCTGGTGGCCGGCGCCCGGCCCTTCCGGTGCGGTGCTGGTTCTCTCCCCGGGGGCGGTGCCGGGCCCCCGCGCCTGGCTCCTTGGGTCGGGGGCGGTCCCTGGGTGCGTCCGTGGGTGGGGGGTGGTGGTGGGGGCGGGCGGGTGGTCGGGTGCGGGTGGTGGTTGGGGGGGGTGGGGGCGGTCCGCGTCGGGCGGTGGGTGGGCGGGCCCTCCTGCCCCGCCTGTCTGGGGTGTGTCTCTGGCTCTCTGGGGGTGCCGGCCATTGCCGCCCTGGGTCCTTGGGCCTGCGTGGTGTCCTGCGGCCTCTGCGGCTCCCTGGTCTTGGGGTCTGGGCGCTCCTGCGGTCTTGGGGTGCCATACCGCCCCCCTTCCCCCGCAGGGCTGGCCCTGGACCCTGGTGATGGTTTTCATAAACACATTGGGAGGGTTCAAATACACGCATGCATGTTCGATACTTCAGCTCCGTGACGCATCGCAAAGAACCGATGGGATCACTCCAAAGGGGCCCACTTGCTTCTCAAACCTACCACACCGCGCTGGCAACTCTTCTCTACAATCGGGCTTTCCCCCTCCACCAAGACTCTCACATTTTTGGTGTTCAGTATAGACTTCTCTTTTGTTTTTGTTTTTCAGTACAGTATAGTAGACATGTATATGTTTATTTTTGATAATCTGCATGGAGCACAACCACCTCAAGGCCACAATACATCAGCTACACTGCCTGTTTCTCCCCTGTTTTTTTTTGTTTGTTTGTTTATTTGTTTGTTTGTTTTTCCTCCTTCTTCTCCGCATGCACTGTCACTATATAACTCAGGACTTAAGCACCTGCCCCCTCCCCCTTGCTTGTTTCCTTACTTTCCCCCTGACACACTTTGGCGTATCACGGCCCTCTCTGGCTCATATTAGGAAGTTTTTCCAATAAAGGCTGATAGGCTAGTCTCCAGGGAGGGTGGGTGACGGTCACAACCACGCATTATGGGTATAAAATACTTGACTGCAAGATTAACAGTGCAGCAATCTTCACAAGAAGCTTACACCCTTTTGTGGCGCTAAGCTACGAAGACCAATGCAGACAAGTAGAGAAAAAAAAAAAAAAAAAACATGTGTCACCAACGGAGCACTTGAGCATGTGAGATGTTCCACCGTTGACTGTATCTCTTTCTCTCATCAGGCGCTGCTGAAGATGGACTGCCAGGGTCTGGTTGCCCGACTGGTCCTGGATTTCGTCTTGTTGACCACAGCGGTGGAGGTGGCGTTCCGGTGGAGGGAGCTTGCTGAGAAACTAGCTCGAGTGTCAAGACAGCAGATGGAGGCTTACGAGGCTCCGCACCGCGACAAGAACGGCCTATTGGACAATGAGGTGAGAGGCCTTGTGTCTATGGCGGGGAAACAGAGTGCCAGTGTTCCAGGAATATAAGAAACATGTCAGTGGGACATTCTGAGCTAAAGTAATGCGAAAAAATATACTCAGAGACTTGAAAAATATGTGTGTCACATCCAACACATTCTCACTCACAACTCATCAAATAAGGAAGCTTCATCAGTCGCCTTGAAGCATCAGTTTTGTAAGGTCAGCGATGGCGCATCAGTTTTCGCTCGTTACATGAACGTTATATTTTCAAAATAAACTTCCATCGTCACAGGAATTGTGCAGTTTCTGCTTGTTACATGCACACAGTCTGTTTCGGTTTGGGAAACAGAAGTACTTGGTTGGGTATAGGAAAAGATTGTAGTTGGGTTAAATTTCACACAGCGCACAAACGACGGTCTCCTGGGTGAAAGTCCTGGGTTCTCATTCATAAACATTGCGTACGCACAAAATGAGGCCTGAAAGAAGCGTACACAACTTCTCACGCAAACTTTATCGCAAGACAGACTTGATGGGAGAGACTTTGACTCTTGCTTGCGAACATTTTGGAGACGAAATTGGTGCAATTCTTTTTGTCCTTACATAAATGTTTAGCATGGATCGTTAGCATTGTTTTATAAGTGAGACCCCAGCTTGTTTGATCCATCCGTCCACCCTGTGTTGCCAACTTTACGACTGTCTTGCTAGATTTAGTGACTTTTCAAACTTTTTTAAAAAAGCACCTCACAACAAATTCAGCATCTTATTCAGACCATCAGGTAAAAGAGAGAAATATACAGAAATATATTGTACTGCACTTCATTATCATGCATGCTGCTCAGACTAATTGAGGTCCGTGGCTCCTCTGCCAACAGTGCCTTATCTCTTTCCCTTTCTCCTGCGCAGCAGCACTGTGCAAGCACTCAGTAGGTGTGGGGCAGGCAGGAGGAGGAGATGCTGCTCCCTGAGCTGCGGGGGTTCAGCTGTAGTGAGTTTCTGTGGATTCATTGATGCTCTTGCTCTCTGGATTGAAAGCAAGAGAAAGCTCTTATTGGATTCAGTACAATCAGGTACCAGACTTGGTTCTTTTGAGGGTATGTACCGAACTTCATCAGTACCAAATTTTGGTGCCCAAGGGCACCCTGGAAATCCAGAGTTCTCGCGAGAGCACAATTTGAATTTGCTCAGCGAGTCACTCTGGCAATCAGTAATGATGCTCATTACCTATGCCCATGAAACCGAGCTGCACCAATCACATCGGTGTATCTGATATAGGCGGGCCAGAGGCGAGCTAAACAGATGACTACAGTGCTGCGATGACGAAGTCCGGAATCAGTCAGTAAACATTGCAAGATGGCTACGGATGAACACCAGTTGTTTGAAATTGCTTTGGCCGCTACAATGAACGAGTTAGACTTGGCTTTTTCTCTAAAAGAGGAACAGAAGACGGCGCTCGAATCTTTCCTTTGCAAGAAGGACGTTTTTGCTGTTTTGCTGACCGGATACGGCAAGAGTCTAATCTACCAGTTAGCTCCGCTGGTAGCTAAGCTCTGGATACGTCACCCCGTGTATTGTTCTGATTGGTCGTAGTGTTATCCAATTGCGTGCAGTGATATTTTCAAATGCATGCTTGGTGCCGCCCCTCTAGTTGGGCCATTTGCATTACTTATAGCCAGACCCTAAATCTTTTTGGATTTGGGTCTGGATTTCCAGGCTAACCCACATACTAGTCCACATACTTGTCAGTTGTGTCTAATTAGAGGGCTAAAGAGACGAGCAGACACATGCACACACACATGAGCAAGCAAACAGAGACTTGGCTCTGTACTGTGAAAAGCAGAGAAGGAGAATCACTTACTGACTGCAACTTGTTCAAAGGTACATTTTTGTTAATACAGAAACAATAGTACTGACAAAAAGGTACCGTGGGGTATTGGTACCGGCACCCGGTATTACTGATGCTAAAGGGTGCCTTGGTATTAGGGTTGGGTCGGTTCTCGGTAATGCCAATTTGGTTCGGTACTCCGTCTTGGACTGTTTTTTTTTGGTTTTTTTTGAGACCGACCGGACCGCATACTCGGGCAGAACGTACGTGGAACGGACTCCGTGGAGGTCCGCCCGGTAAAAGCGGACGTCTGCAATCTCTGTGCGCGCAAAGCACGACTGCGCGGACTCCGCTCTGCGCACCAATGTCACACAAAAGACTGCTCGGCATGTATTTTTCACAGACATTTTTACAGGAAACTACAACGCGGAAGTGCGCTTGACTATGGAAGCCCGAATGACTGCGGACATTCCGACATTCCTGAGTCCGCTCCGCTTATAGCACGCCCGAGTCTGTGGGCACCTGTGTCTGCCTCTTCGCCAAGCGCACAGCGAGCAGGAGAGAGAGAGGGGTGGGGCGGGGACTGAGCTAGGAGGTGCGAGTGCGCATGCGCCAAGGCCTCTACTGTAGCCTGGAGTTTGTTTAACACTGACGAGGAGTCGATAATGGCGGACAATTTAGTCTCGAAGAAATCAAAGAATGCACCTCTATGGCAACACTTTGGCTTTGAGCCAGACGAAGGAGGCAACCCTTGTTTGCACTGATTGAGTAAGCTGCAAATTTTATTTGTAAGGAATAAAAGAAACAACGTGTTACTGTCACTCTGTCACTTTTCTCATACCAACCCAACTTGGTATGTCAGTGTCAGATGTTGTGGGCCCCAGACTAAGCGTTGGTATCTATTAGTTGGGGGTGAGAACCAATTGTCATGTCTGTGTGTTCAGATCTGACTGAGTTGTGACCCAACAGTATCTTTGCCTTACGTCTCACTGTTCAAAAATAATAGAAAGTTGGGAAAGGCAGTAGAACCTCTTCTAGTAAAGATAACAAATGTCTGTCCAATCTGTTGCCCTCTGTACCTAAAGAACTCTTTCTCTTCTCTCTCTTTGACCCCAATCCCAACCCTTCAGTCCATGTGGAAGCCAGCCTACGACTTCCTCCTGACGTGGGCCGCCCATGTGGGGGACAGCTACCGAGATGTGATCCAGGAGCTCCACCTCGGCCTGGACAAGATGAGGAACCCCATCACCAAGAGGTGGAAGCACCTTACCGGCACGCTAATCCTTGTCAACTGCCTCGATACGCTGCGCAGTGCCGCCTTCTGTCCCACGGGATATGGAGATTTTGCGGTGTGAACATTTTCATCCACCTGGAGAACAACTTTCTTTGCGTCGTGGTGGGAGTTACTGGAGGTACTTGGCCCTAAGAGTTTTATCTTGGACGGTTTGACAGGACGACATTGAGGACACAAAGTTTGGGATTGAACCTTTGACCGTCCAGTTCAGGATGTGAGATCTGTACATCCTGGTCTCTTGTTTGGAGTCTTGGATCGGCATCATCGGTGGCAGCATTGGTAGTTCTTAATAAGCGCCAGGTGGAGATACACCTGCGGACGATTTCTAGCATTGAACAAGTCAATGTGAAACTGGAGGATTTTATGTTACGTTTTCCTTTTATTTTTACTCTTCTTCATCTCTTTATTACCTCACCCTTTGTCTTTACCACTTTCTGTCTTTGTTTCTGTTGACGTATTCTATATCTGTCTGTTTTTTGCTATCCTACACTATTACGTTCTCTTCCAGTTTGTATGATTTGCTCTGTTTCCACATCTCTCTCAGGACAACATCAGAGACCTCAACCACTGCAGTACATATCCACACATACTGTGACCTCTCCGCTATCTTTAAAAGCTCCCCCAATACCGAACTGAACCTCCGTTTGCAAGCCAAATTTTTGAACACTTTCCCTCCATTTCTGACTGGCAGTTTTTATTCTTTCATTGTTTCTCACTTATCTCAAAAGAGGGCAGAGCAGATGACTTTAGTCAGGATCAGAAATTGTTTCACACATTCAAACATCAAGAGCATCTGTCAGTAATTAGCTTGCCAAAAACAGTTAGCACAATGTTAACTCGACATGTGACTCGGTGTAGTCCATGCAGTAAAGGTACAGTATATCTATTTATGCAAGATATACGTCTATTTTTTATACCTGCAGAACAATAGAGATGAATATATTATCGACAGTGTTATTCTTGTGCACTTCTCTTGCTTTGGTTTGTCATTTCCACCATTTTTCATTTTTTGCGCAAGAATGCTACAGTAGGAAATTCAGAGTCGAATTTGATAACCTCGATTTCTTCTGTCCAGCTAAAGACACAAAAACATGGGACACAAGTTTTTAGCGAAGCATCGAGATCGAGTTTCCTTTTTCAGGCATGAATTCCTACATTTATTGGAAGTACTTCCAGTATTTTGCACACACTACAGTTTGTATGATATGCTACAAATTAGCGCCCCATGAATGACGTTACATCCCTAACGTAAAGTTTTGTAATTGACGCAAAGTTATCAAGGTTAGGTTTAGGAAAAGCAACATGGTGAGGACGTACCTTCAAATGACTCAAAGTTCAGACAATTCTGAACGCCAGTCTCCTGGGAGTGAAAGTCCTGTGTTTTTTGACCACGTGCCCCTCTTTCATCCCAAAACTAAACCAAAATATCGCCGCCATCTTTCACTGGGGCATTTGAAGCCAGAGTCTGCACAGTAGCGACTGCTGTGGTATCAAGTTTCTGCCGATACACCCGTCCAACCAATCGAGAGCAACGCCATTGAATGCGAGCACAACAACTGGCACACATAGCTGTCAATCATGTTGTCACACTCCGTTTTTATTGCATCAAATAAGTTATTAAAACCAAAATGATCGGAAAAAATGTGTTTGACGTGGTACCATGGAGGACACGGGGTATACGACCTGTGGGTTCAGGACAGGCCGCCACTGTTTACTACTTAAATAAATGAAACATGACTTTAAACTGTGAAAATATACAGACATACAAGTTTATATTTAAAGAAGTCTTTTGTCTCTGATTTGTGTTCTCAAGCATTTTGTCTTTGATTTTATGATCTCAGCAAGTTCAGTCAATCAGCTTTGATGCTTTTATCGTTAATTTCCACGTCTGTGTTTTTGTCTTTAAGTCTTTCATTCAGTGTCTGTTCTTGTTTCGTTTCAGTATGTTTTGTGACGGCTGCAGTGTTCCCGTATCTGTTTGGAATATGAACTCGCTCTGAGCAGAAAATGTGTGAGGACTTTATATATTTGTACTGAATGCTGATTGAGTGTTGACACATTGTTGATGCGGTGTCGTGTCTCCTGTGACAGGTCGCAGAGCTGAAATCTGTTCAGAAGGTTTCAATAAAAGTGAAAATTGAAAACGTGTTCGTGTGTGTGTGTGTGTGTGTGTGTGTGTGTGGGAGGACAACGACAAAATAGATTTTACTTTAAGTATGTGTGGACATTAAAACTTTTGGAATATTTGCTTGTTTGTGTGTTTCGGAAAACGTATTCTTATTAATTCACTGCTCAAACAATTGGGTTCCTCCTGGTGCGGCAAGCTCTTGGTTCCTCCTGGTGCAGAGGGCCCTGGGTTCCTCCTGGTGCAGAGGGCCCTGGGTTCCTCCTGGTTCAATGGGCCCTGGGTACCTCCTGGTGCAGAGGGCCCTGGGTTCCTCCTGGTGCAGAGGGCCCTGGGTTCCTCCTGGTTCAATGGGCCCTGGGTACCTCCTGGTGCAGAGGGCCCTGGGTTCCTCCTGGTGCAGTGGGCCCTGGGTTCCTCCTGGTGCGGCAAGCTCTGGGTTCCTCCTGGTGCAGGGGGCCCTGGGTTCCTCCTGGTGCAGAGGGCCCTGGGTTCCTCCTGGTGCAGAGGGCCCTGGGTACCTCCTGGTGCAGAGGGCCCTGGGTTCCTCCTGGTGCATCAAGCTCTTGGTTCCTCCTGGTGCAGAGGGCCCTGGGTTCCTCCTGGTGCAGGACAGTGCCTGGCCTCATGTGTCCAGAGTGTGTAGGCAGTTCCTGGATGACGAGGGCATTGATGTCATGACCTAAATCCAGCTGATCATCTATGGGGCGTTATGTATCGGTGCATGCAACGCCTCCACCGACTAGCTTCCATCTTCTCGTCTGACTCTGGGTGAGACAGCAAACACACATTTCTCAAAATCTGCAGAGATGCAGCAAAAGGCTGATAAATTCTTTCCACCTCCGTGAGTTTGCAAATCATGCCCCCTGACTGTGATTCTTTCTGCACAACAGCGTTCACAAAGTGTTGTGTGACGCTGCCATCACGAATTCCACACAGACAATACAGCAGATTCCTTCATGTAGACACACAGAGGGACAACACATCCAAATATCACACATGAATGCACAAACCATCACGTGCTGCTAATGCATGCACAAACGCCACACATGAGCGCGCTCAAATCCGTCCTCTATCCCAGCTGAACACAATCTTCTACACACACACTCACACACACTTTAATTTGCTTTAATTAAAGCAGATAATTATTCACCCTCAGAGGACAGGCCACCTTGACAAAGTCGTCCTTTGCCTTTCGATGACTCACCCTCAACATTCCTGCTCGTCTCCCGGATACAACTTGAAACTACTTTCTTTCTACAACACGGCACTATAAGGGGATAAAATAGGTTTTAACAAGCTGCTATTTAAATAGGAGAGCATAAATCACCCCACGCTGTGTTCAGCCACTCCTGTTTATAAATTACCTTCGCGCTGAAAGAAATATTCATATGGAGATAAAAACAGGTTCATCTCCAAAGTCTGAGAGCTGTCTGACCTGGTGTGTTCTCTAGCAACAGCAGAGCAGAGCACAGCGTTCTTATCGCTTGACACAACTCTTAAAGTTTCTGCATGGAAAGCTAAATTAAAATGATAAATCATCCCGGAAATCACCAGAGGACAATGTTGTCATTGTATGTTTCTGCAAACCCAAGATATTAAAGATACATTTGAATGTTTCACGTATCAAATTAATGTTCCAGCGGCCTTTTAGGCACGAAAAGTGGTTGTAGTTTACCAAGACATTGCTGTGTTTCCTGCCAGGATAGTTGCATGAAATATGGTTGTTTTTTCCGAAAAATTGCTGTGTTTCCTGCCAGGGTAGTTGCCTGAAATATGGTTGCTTTTTCCGAGACATTGCTGTGTTTCCTGCCAAGATAGTTGCACGAAATATGGTTGTTTTGTCCGAGACATCGCTGCTTTTACAGCTGGGATAGCTGCACGAAAATTATTGTTTTTTCACCAAGACATTGCTGCTTTTCCTGACAGGATTGTTGCATGAACAACAGTTGTATTTTACCGAGACTTTGTCGCATTTCCTGCAGGGATAGCTGCATGAAAAGCGGTTGTTTTTAACTAAGACATTGCTGCGTTTGCTGCCAGGATAGTTGCATGAAAAGCACTTGTTTGTTACTGAGATTTTGCCGTATTTCGTGTCGGGATAGCTGCATTAAAGCAGTTGGGGTTTTTTTACCAAGAAATCGCTGCTTTTTCTGCCAGGATAGTGCAACAAAAACAAGTTGTTTTCTTTACAGTTTTTACAGTTATGTTGCTGCGTTTCTTGCCAAGATAGTTGCATTAAAGGGTTTGGTTTTTACTGTGACATTGCTGCTTTTTCTGTTGGGATAGCTTCATGAAAAATTGTTTTTGTCTCTTGCCAGGATAGCTCAATGAAGAGTAGTTATTTTTTACAGAGACATTGCCTCTTTTTGCTTTGGCATAGTTGCACAAAAAGTGGTTGTTTTTCACTGAGACATTGCTGTGTTTCCAGTGGGCTTGTCCTCCCCAGACCAGGTATTTTAAGTCAAAACATGATCTTTTCCAAACCATAACTAAGTGATTCTTGTGCCCGAACCCATCCACGTTAACCACGGTGTTGTTGTCTCAAAGTATCCGCGACATAATAATGTGCAAATCTGTCTGTGATATCTTTTCCTGCTGATTGGTTTGTCAGAAATCTGGATGTGGACAGTTTGATGAACGAGCAGGACAAACTGTGCTCCACCCCTTTCACCAAATCCAGCCTGTAATCAGAGGATCACAGGTGTCAATTGTCTAATCTAAAACTTTGTCTTCCTGTCCGTCACGTCAGACGATCAGAGAGATGTGCGAGGAAAACAGTAATTTTTACACAGCGCTCTTTCATTCCTTGATTCGGGACAAATTGGCCGGCTTCGAGGTGCTTTTGAAAATGCAAAACAGGTGGCGAGATGAAAAGCTTTGGGACGAGCCGTCGGCCTGTTTCATCTGCTGTTGTTTTCCAGAGCCTTTGGAGGATGTGTGTGTGTGTATGTGTGTGTATGTGTGGAAACAAGCTAGGATGGTTTCACCTTGTGAGTCAGGAGAATGCAAAGAGCCTTTGTAAGCAAAACAAAAGTGCCTCATCTGCTCACTGCCTCTCCATCTCGTTCGTTTGGAGCCATGTGAATGTTTTGCTGCTGTCGTGTGGACGCTTCATGAAAGCCGCAGACATGGTGATTATCTGAACTTCAGCTTATTGATTATTTCTATCATTTATGGGCTCGTAGACTTCACAACTCTTAACAAGCTGTTTCTCTCTCAGAGTAAAGCACAGAGTGATGAATTCTCTCTGAGCTCCACAGTCCCTCTCAGCGGACCAACAGGTGAGGCTCAGTATAATGGAGGAGACATCATTTGTGCAGTGTTCAGCATTTTACAGTTTGTTGCTGTTTATTTGTTGAAGTTTTTTGACACGTTCTTCAGGACTTTGTGTCTTTGCGACATCAGCTTCTCAAAAACGAATATCTCTTTCATGCTTAAAACACATTCATTGGAACTGTTCAACCAATCGACAGAATAAATGTTAGCATTTTATGTTTCACACTTTTACATTATTATTTCACGACCACTTTTAAACATTATGTTGCAACAACACTGCAGTAAATGTGTGGCTATGTTTAGTTGCAAAAAGCGCTTAGTTATGGTTAGGAAAAGATTATGTTTTGGCGTAATGTTTGGTGGCACAATAGCTGCTGAAACATAGCGACAGGTTGATAAAAAAACACCCATGTTTGGTGGTGCAAACGCCGCTAGAAAGTCAGTGACTAGCGCTAAAAAACACCCACATTTGGTCACACTGAAGTCAAGGAAACATAACGACATGTTGCTAAAAAACACCAACGTTTGACGGCACAAATTTAGCTGGAAACGTCGTGATCCGTCATTAAAAAACACCTATATTTGCTGAAACAAATGCCTTTGGAGTTGCAGTGACTGGTTGCTGAAAAACACCCGCGTTTGGTCACACAAAAGTTGCTGGAATGTAGCAACGGGTGCTGCTGGAAACATTGTGAAGGGTCGCTAACAACCACCCTTGTTTGGTGGCATAAATGCAACTGGGAATGTAGCAACTGGTCTTGAAAATCTCCCATGTTTGATGTTTGAAAAGGCAGCGGCAGGTTGCCTAAAACCATCAACGTTTATTGGCACAAATGCTGCTGGAAACATGGTGATGGGTTGCTAAAAAACACCCATGTTTGGTTGAACAAACGCTGCTGGAAATGTGGCGACAAGAACAGTGAAAAACACCCACATTCTTAGGCTCAAACACCTCTGGAAACATCAGGACTGGTCATTAAAAACATCTACATTTGGTGGCACGTGTGCCGCTGGAAATGTAGCTATGGATCGCTGAAAAACACCCATGTATGGTCACACAAAAACACCTACATTTGGCAGCACAAATGCAACTGGAAATGCAGTGACTGGTTGCTGAAAACCACCCATGTTCAGTGGCACAAATTCCACTGGAAACATAGTGCTGGGTTGCTAAAAAAAACACCTATGATTGATTGAACAAACGCTGCTAGAAATGTGGTGACAAGTCAGTGAAAAACACCCACATTTGGTGGCACAAATGGCACTAGAAAAGTAGTGTATGGTTGCTGAAAAAACCCTCACAATTGGTGGCATTAAAGCTGCTGGAAACGTGGCAACTGGTCTCAAAAAACCTGCCACATTTGACGTTTGAAAAGAAAGCGGTTGGTCGCTTATAACAATCAACGTTTAGTGGCACAAACGCCGCTGGAAATGCAGTTACACATCCCTGAAAAACACCCACATTTGGTTGGCAACAGTTGATGGGTTGCTAAAAACACCCACGTCTGATGGCACAAACGTTCCTGGAAACATAGTACCAGTGTTGTTGGTTGGTCTGCTCCTTGTGTGTTTGAAATACTTTTACCATGAACTCACAGAACCACAACAATCCCAACTGGAGGTACACTGACTTCCTGAAACTCAACAGATGCATCTCCATGACAACCGAGCAGTCCATTGACAAGGACAAACCCGGCACCTGTGCAGTGACTTGCGGCGTCAGAAACCAACGAAAAGAGG